TTTAGTTTTTGTTTCTATGGTACCTCTTATAATATTCTTCTGAATTTATTTACTTGTCACTTTTGAAAGCAAGATAAACAATATTTCCCAGCACCTGTTAATTCACCCTTGCCTCAGATTCTTTACATCAACATGGGCTACAAGTATTCCATGGTACAAAATGTTCAGTCACAGTTTGTTTATACTACATCATCCAAATTGATAGCCTGAACAGTTGCTAGTTCAGCTGAAGGAAGTTCTATTAATTGGGAATTACAAACAGGTTCTTGCTCTAATAAATAATTGTCTATTTGGGAAAGAGACAAATTATCTACAATCATCTCAAATAAGTCATCGTCTTAGAGAAATTCATTCCACTCATCAAAAAACCCCTCGTCAAAATCATAGCCATTCTCCTCTAAAGGAGAAGGCTCAGATGACTGCATTCCTGTAGTCACATCATTAAAACCTTTGCTTATAACTTTCAGAATCTCCTGTGCATGACACATATCCCATATCTCTACAAATCTATAAACATCTGATAAACTGAAAATTGCATCCAGATTATCCAAAACTTGGGTGATTTGGTGCTCGGAGAATCCAAGCATAAATTGTAAATTTGTCCTCACATCACCATGAGCTGTTGTGTTCAACAGTTTGATAAGAATGGTCTTGTAGTATTGAACCAGGAGACCCTCAACAGTTTTCCTCTGCTCTGCATCCACTTGCCTTTTTATAATTGATGCACCATTGTTTACTTTCTATTGAGAACAAGGATAAAATGCTAAAGCTCCACAATCAGGCAAACTGAATTCACAATCTGCAGCACATTTATCACAGCACAGATGCAGAACTTCGTGCTGCCAAGTAATGCAGTTAAAGTGCTTGAGCAGATTTGTTTTTACATATCGTTTCATACAGCCATCAATATGGGCTAGAAGGATTCCATGGTACAAAATGTACACACAACTTTGAGTACCATCCCTGCCTGGTCTCCCAGTTTCCTGAATATAAGATTCCACATTTTGGCAGGTCCATAGTGAATGACTCTATGCACTCCCTTACAATCTTCCCCCATTCCGAAGGCAATCGAGGCAATCAACAATTGAATAGTTCCATTTATTGACTGGAAGGAGAGAAGAATTTTCTCTTTGTTTGCAGATGGTGTGCAGGAGTGGAGCATTTCCACAAGTGCATTTCCTGGATCATCATCAGTTCCACTATAAATATCCTTCCCAAGGATGCCTTTGATCATTCCGTATAAAACACTGCATTGCTTGATAGTCTGGCAATAAATAATGCTAATTTACCTTCCAATGTTAACTCTTCAACCAGCCACTCAAAATAGAACTCATGGTCAATATCTTTTTGCATACACTGCACAATGTAAGTTACACATGGCTTGTTTGGGCCTTCTTCGACTTCAAATGGTTTCTCCCTAAGAAGGATGTTTAAAATTGTTTCTTTTTATCAAGTTATTCGCCTTTGCAGTCAAAGCAATCATGTTGGCATTTGGTGCTAATGATCACAGCTCGTGAAGTCGGCCATAACACTCACGCAATGCTGCCATTTTATTTTCCTCAGATGTTCCCCTGCAATGTCTCCATGTATGTGAACTGTTAGTGGCTTGTGAGTGAGGAAAGAAAACATAAATTACTTTTAAAACAAAACAATACCAATGAAAACTTTTAAATTAAGATTGAATTCGTTTGAAATAAATCATTTTTTAAGAGTTTTACAGGAAAAGTATTGAAGAAACTGAACTTACAATGTTTCTAAGATAATTTTAGCAAAGAAGAATGGATAATTATTTTATATTATTGTTTAGTGTATGTGTTTGTTTCCCATTTTTACTCACATTTTTATTCAAATATAAGTGAAATTGTTTCTTTGAAAGTTTGAAACGTCTGTGATGGAAATCGCGATAAAACTCGGACTTACCAGTGCCGTAAAACATGAGGTTCATCGACAGCCACAACACAAAGTTTCTTCGAGTAGACATCATTACTCAACATACATAGCCAGCGCTGGTTCATAAGCCATGCTTCAGGTGAGCCATGGACAATTGAATATTCTCCTTTCTCTATCTTTGCACGATCAACTTCAACGTTTGAAGAAATATTTACGACAGACAGACCAAGACTTCTCAAATACTTCACTTGATCTTCCATCAGACTAGCCAACAGAGACACAACAATAACAGTATGACCGCTTTCATCGGAAACGTGGTCAAACACTAGCAGGAGAGCCTGGTATATTGGTGTCCGGTCGTTTCGATACAAAGTCGTTTCGCGATACAAACCGTTTCGATACAAATCGAAGTCGATTCGTTAAAAACGTAAAGTCGATTCGATGCAAACTGATGTCGTTTCGATACAGAAGTAAACTCGAGAAAAGTTCTGTAAAAGTGTGTTAGTTTCCGTCTTTGATATGTGTGGTGATTTGTTGTTTTCTATTCAAGCTAAAATTCGACTCGACTAACTGAGCGACTCGATCGATCGACGTAGTTGTAATACCCAGTTTTCGCGCGACTCGATCGAACGAGTTGTATTATTCAGTTTCCCCGTGGCCTAAAAGAACAAACTTTATTGAATATTTATTTAAATTACTAAAGTACGTTTACGTTGATTATGACTTTCGCATATGTGGTGGCTCCTAAAAGAGCCATTTTTAACGACCTGAAATCGTCCAAAGTGACGAAAGCAGGGCGCGGCGGCGCCTAAAAAAGCCTTTTTATGAAGGTACTGGGCCGTTGAGGTAGGAAAACGCCTTTAGTAGTTTTCTTGCACAACGGGTACCAGAGTTGAACTCATCCCAGAGGTTGAAGATCTTGGTTTGGAGGTCTCGGAACCTTTTTTCTGAATGCGCCGTAACTTCTCCTCGGACACAAGCCTGATCTGAAGGGATGTCCGAAGGCCTCGTGGTGAAGAAGGCGGATCAGGAGGTACAGAGGAAGCTGGGACTTCCCAGACGCGCGGTGATTCAGCCCAAGATGCCAGCCCTCTATGTCGTTGTTGGTTCAGACGGATTTCATGAACACGCTCCTAGAGGACGGCCATGTGTTGCCTGTGATTCTGTTCCTGCCGACGTACTGCATTAACTGCTGGAGTTTCTGAGTCGATGTCATCTTCTGAAGCCGTGCATACATTGCAGGAATCTCCTCTGCTGGAGGGAACGGCAGGGCCATGACCTTTCTGATGAACGCGTACGATCCCTGGTCTTTGTTGTAATCCCCCCGAAGTCCCAAATCTTCCTGAAAAAAGGGTTCCAGTGTGTTTTATACACTGATATCAGTTAGTTTAAAGCGTTTGGATTGGTTTATTCGCTGTCATTAGAACAATAGGGTAAAATATGTAAGTTTTTTAAAAACAATTAGTTTACGCGTCAATTGATACGATAATTTACAAACCCGCCTACTCACGCGCCAGAATAACTCCTGTTTCCTCCCGGGTCCGTTGCATCACCGACTTACACGACATTATTGATAGTATTTGTGTTTCTTGATCGTAGGTATAATATGCGCTGTGGTTATAGAAAAAGTCTCAAATGTATTTATATAAATCTCTGTTCTCAATAAATAAACTTAACCAAAACTTAGTCTCGTTTGCGTGTTCTCATTGTGTTGGAGGTTTGGGTACATGTGGAGGTTCGCGTAGGTATGTGTTTGTTTTATTTACAACGGAGGTTTGTGTTCGCTCTAGTATGGTATTCTGTCTCGGAACGACTTGAAGTAACGTGAGTTTGTATCGAATCGACTTTACATGTGCAACGAATCGACTTCGATTTGTACCGAAACGTCTTGTATCGAAACGACCGTGAACCGGTATATCAACGATTTCCCGGATCCTGTAAGCAAGTTAACAAAAACATCTTCCTTCTAGACAAAGATTTTTCTAATTTCAAGCTTCTGGTTAGCGTTAAGCGCGGAAATTTTGAACTTTGACGACGCTTTGCGTAAGGGCCTGTTTACACGGAGGTGGGGGACCCCAGGTAGGTGAGGTAACCCACCTAGGCGGGTTGCCCGGTCTGCCAGGTAGGGTAACCCTGTCAGCCGGGGTGACAATTTGCCATGTAAACGTGTCAAGGTGGGGTAACCCGCCTAAGCCGGGGTCGCGTGCATAGCAAAAAGCTCAAAAGCGAAACATGTATGTTTTAAAACTTTGCACATTTCCTAGCCGTCTCATGGCAGAAATCGCAACGGACACACAAGGAGTGTAAAATGTTCACATTTCGGAATATTTCGCGTTGTAAATCGACCATATTTGGTTTCCCAAACTATTCCGTATAACGTATTAAGTCAACGGTTCCTCGCCAAACCAAACACCGCGTAATACAACGCGTGACGCTTTCATGAATAAATACATATGTGTTCGAGAATTAATCTTCCGTCTTTTTCGAGATGTGAGCTTGGGACGCCTCTGCTCAAACTTTTTAATTGCAAGCGCAACAATAACCTCAAGAAACTTCACCCCAGCACCCCGGGGTTGTAAGATTGCATGTGAACGCGTTTTATTTTTCGACCACGGCTGAGCGGGTTACCTCACCTACCTGAGGTCCCCCACCTCCATGTAAACAGGCCCTTAGGCGGCTGTGATTCCAAGTGAGCATTCCAAGCCAAAAATATAAGTCGGTGCTCATTCAGGCGATAAATTAAAATATCTACGGAATCGTGAGAGATTTGTCGCGCTGGCTGACTTCCATTCTCCTTGAGTTTTCAACAACAGCAGAAGACAAAGGGTCATTAGCCAAGAATCCAGTCCTATTGTTAAAACGAGGAGTCAAAAACATTTCTGAAGGACAAGGCCACTGCTGAATCAGACCCAAGAAGTCCATTTCTTTGCGCACATGGCGGCTAAAGTCCGCCAAAACTTCTCCCAGAGACACTCTGGTACTTTAACGGTAGACTGTCTCAGTTGCGTGTAGTAGGGAGCAACTTCAGAATACCCGGCCACTCAATTTACATGTCATTGAATAAGAATAGCGTCTATTGTGTTAGGCCTCAATCTTCAAAGCCTCCTGACACATGTAAGTGAGGCGGATCAAAGTGGCCGGGTATTCTGAAGCTTAGTAATCGCGCTACTAGCAGCAAAATAGGCAAAATCGAGGAGAAGAGGAAAAGAGTGAAAGCATGCAGCAGATTGGATGGGTGTGAGAGTGAACTTCATGGCTAAATGTTCGAGAGAGAGCATCATTTTCCGTCGAAATCGGCTGAGGTAAGAATAGTCATGTTGATGTTTTAACTTGAACCATGAGCTTTTCTATCTTTAGTCTCAAACTATAGGATGTCTGTCTTTCTTTCCTACGATCGCTGAAAACGAAGCTAATTGATCTCGAAGCTGTGAACGGCCGTCTAGCTCTTTCGATAGGAATTACAACTGTTCTGTTAAAATAATCACGAGGCATTTTCCTTCGACTAAGCATGTTATTGTATGTTTCACCACCCTATTTGCACCTTGTTATATAAAATCTCAGCGACTCTTCCTTACATTTGGTTGACATGAGTTAAGAGTTGTTGCACATGCATGCATGTAAATGAAAGTCACGCAAAAATTTAACCGCATGAAAGAGTTTTTCTACCATAACGACTCTAGTGAATTCGGAAATTTTCAGTTTCTTCAATCATGAAAGTCAGCGAACTTCTACTCCAAAATCTTCTCAAAATTACACGCCAACAATATCCGTTTTGGTGATCCAGTCGTTTACTGTTTACATTAGATTATGGCTCACGAAATGCCTCCCTGGAAAATATCTGAACCTACCTACAAAGCCCTTTCAAGATACACGAAAACTTGCATAATGTCGTAGTACTTAACACTTACAAAGCACTAAATTATTGAGATTAAAGGCAAGTTAAGCCGAAGGAAAATATAAATTGGGCCAACCAAGTTCCTTCAAAAAAATAGAAAGTAATATCGATTTTCTTTTGGTTACTGTAATAAAAATTTTCGATCAGTATATTGGATTTTCGGTTAGTACATTGAAAAATCGGAATCTTTTTGATGGGTATTTACTGGCAGAAAGCCCGGTTTTATTTATTTATGCTACCCGTGGGCTGCCTTTAAGTACGCTTATATAAATATATGTCATTTTTCCTTGAAGCGGCTGGTCATCAACAGTCGTCAAGATAAGGTTAATAGCCTCAAGTTTTTGTTCCCAACGCAAATTCCTTCAACGACCATATCAATTCATTAGACAAGAAACGAGCAGAAGGGCATCTTGCTGCGCATGTCCTGTAAATTTTAGTTCGATGCGAGAAACCGCTGGCATGCGCCTGTGTTGGTAATCGCGAAAGAAAAGAAGCAGGAAAATACTTCGGAAAACAACAATGGATCGAGTATTTGAGACAACTTTTCTCGTCATTTTTCCCGCTGTAACTTAGATGGAAGCGGCAAAGTCTTAAAATTGTTGTGTGGTATGTGGTAGGAAGTTCCCTTAAGGAACTTAAAAGATTTTGTTCTTACAATTTCCGCAATTCCTTTGGGAACATCCAGATTAGAGGCCGAATAGATAAGTTGCGAGATATCCACGGGCATGTCTTTTGATTTTTTTGGGCGATCAATGTAGATGATGTTATTTGTGAAGGATGCAAGTGGCCTGTCGAAGAGCACAAACGAATTGGATGTTATACTTTTATCGTGTCATTGCTATCTCAACCTATCGTTGATCATTTTAAGTACTCACTTTCCTGTGGGCGTTTTTTAGAGCTTCAACTGTACTGCTAGTGCAACGTTCTTCCAATTTTAGCGAGAAATTACAGTTTACAGAAGTTTATGTTTTTTTTCAAGTGAATCCCAACCGGCGGGGCCGATTACTAAAACAAAAAGGGCCAATGTCAAGTTAAGAAAGGTGAGACAACGTTAGTACTAGAGATACGGTCGTTACATGAAAGAGCTTGTTAGGAATGGAGGAATAATTATGGATTTTATCAGAGTAAGGAAAAGTCTTTTCAATCATTAGTCTTGGAAATATCATTAGATATGATCAATGATGCGGGGAAACTGTGAGTTAAAACAAGTGCTAGTTTGGGCTTCCAGTTGTAATATGAATAGTCAACTAAATCAATTATTTCCTAATCACATTCATTCTATCATTTCCACTGCACAACAAAATCGTATACACTCTTTTTAACCTTATTCTCCAACCCTTTAAATTACAAGAGTTATGTGACAATTTGATGGTCTGAAAAGACTCTTATTACATGCTCAACAATAAAGAACCAGTAAGGCTGATATTTAACAGTGAGGATAAAAAACAAAATATTTCCAAAAGTCTTTTTTTCCTGGGAACAAGACTAAATAAGGTCAGATGAAACTAGTGTGAAGAGGTTCGTAGATCCCTTTAGGAAAACAGATGATTTACATCTATCAGATTTTAGAGAATTGAGACTTATCTCAAAAGGGGACTTTGACATTACATAATTTGCAGTAACGGGCATCAGGTTGGATGCCTATTTGAGGAAATTTATAGTTTACTAGCCGGGGGTTTGGTTGTGCCAATTTTATGGCAGACAAATCATATTCCAGACACTTAAAAAATTTTATAGCTCTCACTGGAAGCTCAAACACTCTCAGGGAACGTGACAATACTTCACCTGATATCTCCTCCTGTTCTTTTCCAATGAAATTTTGACAAAACTTTTAAAAACCTTTTTTGGCAATTTTACAGTTGCAAAAAAAGTATGCATGTAGCATAAACTAGTCGAGGGAAGTTGCCTGGAGAGAATAAAAGATTGATAATTTATGCCAGTAGTAAGCTTCTGGTACTAAAGACAATGATTACCAGCTTGTCGCAATAACCGTCGCACCTATTCACTCTGTCAATAGTACCAACTATATGTAGTGGTGTCACTTCACATCTCCCTAAACAGCAGAGAACATAAAAGTTAATTCCTATCATCAGTCCCAAATAAGAAATAAAAATTGAAGGTATCTGGTGATTTCGCCAACGAGTGATTTCGCCAACGTCACGTTCGTCAACGTCTTAGGTCGCCTCGCCAAAGCGAAAAGTCGCTTCGCCAACGTCCTACTTGTCACTTCGCCAATGTATTAGTTTACTCTAGATAAAGATTTACCATTACTTCTTCTTGCTTCTGTGTGTTATTTACTTGACTGAGCTGACTTGATTTCCCCGTTCGAACTTAGTTTCCTTCCGTTATTTTGTTCGGACTTAGTTTCCTTCTCTTGTACGCGCAACTAAAAACACAGTGGGCCCACATAAATGCACGGCACGGCACGCCACGCGTCACCGGCGCTGTATGTTAAAATTTAACTTAGAGAAACCTTTTCCTTAAGTTCTTCTATAAGGTTTATTTGTCGATAACAGAGATTTATATAATTACCTTTGAGACTTCTAGAACAGAGATTTATATAAATACATTCTAGACTACTACTACTACTAATTCTATAACTCCAGCGCATATTATAACTTCGATCAAGAGTATATAAGTATTACAAGAAACACAGTCAAGAAACACAGTCAAGAAACACAAATACCAGCAATAATGTTGTTTAGGTGGGTGGTGCAACTGACTCGTGAGGAAACAGCATTTTTTCTGACGCTTGTATATTACCATATGAATAGACGCGTAAACTCATTGTGTTGAAACTTGTTGATTTTACCCTATTGTTCTAAATAAACCAATCCAATTGCTTGAAACTAACTGATATGATATTTCGATCCTTCGAAGTGTATAAAACACACTGACATGCGAATGATGGTCATTTCAATCATACAATTACGACACTCTACGATTCATAACGAATTATCTCGGAAACCTTTATATCGGAATACTATCAGGATGGCTACTGCGTAGATTTTAAACTGTATTGTTTGTCACGAACTGGTAAGGTCTCGGCAGAAAGCGGTACATCCATCGAATGTGTAACGCGATTATGAGTTGATGGAGGAACTATTGTTGCTTATCTTTCACCTAACAGAAGGCATCTCCTAAAAGTAAAAAAAAAACTCAAACCATTACGCTCTCTCTTTTTTTATATAAAAATCTGGACGAGAAACTTTTTTTTTTTTTTACTTGGCCTAATTAGATTTTTACTTTGATTCGAAAGGTATATCGCAAGAGCTTTACCGGGCCGCTGTTCGTGACGGAAAAGAAATCGACTGGCAGTGCGCGGTGTGCGAGCCCTATGCAGATCAGCCTGATGCGGAGAGCACCCGGGTCGAGGACATGGAGAGGACATGAATGGACCAGCGCGCTCTAACTGATCATGAACGAACTGAACTAGCGTGAAGTAAGCTGAGAATCAGAAGGTTTTGTAAATAGGTTTTGACTAAAGCATTTTTTTGAATCAGAAGGTTTTGTAAATAAGTTTTGCATTGAAAATATTTTGTGAATCAGAAGGTTTTGTAAATAGGTTTTCCACTAAAATATTTTGCACTTGTAAATATTTATAAAAGTACGTATTGCAATTAAAGTGTTGTTGATATTGCACTTATTATATTTTATTTCTGACTCGTTTTGAAGGCTGGAAAACAAACTCTGATTGCTTATGAAAAATGGTAACTCGTTAATTCACATCGTAACGCATTTTTCAAGTAAAATTTTGAGTTATACATTTTTGGAACACATTTGGAAGCCATCGGAGTTTGTTATTCAACAGTTTTAAATTACCGCGATGTTAGTGCTCACACGCCGGCTTTTTCTGGATCTGTCAAAAATATGCAAATTGTTTGGAAGTCAGCCAAGCGAAACAAGCATTAACTTAAAAATGTTCTGACCCAAGTATCGACATCACATCCGAAGCATCAGTAAGCACCCTTTTTACTAAGTTATTACTAGATATTTGGCGTTGGCGAAGTGACCAGTAGGACGTTGGCGAAGCGACCAAAGATGTTGGCGAAATCACTCGTTGGCGAAATCACCGCAATTCAAATTGAAGGATCAAGACATTTCTGACAAAGTTAAATGCAAGTCAAACAGGTTTGAAGACATTTTAATCTGAAATTCGTTTTCAAATACGAGAGAAATACTGTAATTAACATTCTAAAGAAACAAGGAGTTCCAGTCCCTTGAGTAATTATCCATTTGTTGTATCACTCGTCTCATATTTTAAGAACCAGAGAAAGTTTGATAATTTTAATCTGCGAGTTTCATAGTACACTTCAACTCAAAATTCACTTCGCATGGCAGAAGTATTGTACTGAAATAAACAAGAGAGAATGAAGCTGATGCCATTCGTTTCGAATAACACATGAACATGAAGAAAACGGCACCAGTTTAAACTAATGAGACAAAGCCCTCGTATTTTTCTGAGGTTAATGAACTGGTTAGACCGAAAGCTAAATAAATAAACAATGAACTGACAGTGGTGAGGGATTTGGGGGCCATGTGATAAATAAGTTTTGCCGAAGTTTATCCTCTAGTTAGCACTTCAAGCCCAAAAAGGCAATTAAAAAAATTCTCACCAAAAAACAGCACGAAACTAAGATAAAACCGGAGATGATTGAGGTAAGACTATAACCGTTGTTAAGACACATGCTTACATACCATGTACAACAGACTTAGAGAGCAAAAAGGCCAGAGACACTCGTGAGCCATGACTTGGAAAATCCACCTCGACCTGCCAAAAACGAATTCGCCGAAGGTTGTTGTAAGAGCAACTCAATCCTGAGGCTGGAACATTTTTTAAAGCCTTATATCCTAAGTGACCACAAAAAGAAAGAAAAGACGATGTTATTTGAAGTGATTTGAAGCTTGGGGGCCACCTCAAACTTTACGCAATTTTATTTCAAAGTTGAAGTAAAGTAAGATCAAATTCTAAACTACCTTCTATTACCGAAACGAATATCTCACGATCGTCTCCACATACAACTTCGTAATTCATAGAAGTAAGACATGAACATCTTGAGATTAACCTTGAAGATTTGTAGTCTCATATGCACATCTTGATCGTCAGTAAATCAAATCTTAAACTTCAAGTTTTCGGCCTTTTTTCGCGTTTTGTTCGCACTTTGATCATTAAAATATAGTCATCCGAAGAGCCAGCAAACACCACGAGTATCCACAGAGTTAGAAATGGTGGTAAACTTGTCATACACTTTCATCCCTCTCCAAAAAATATGACAAAAAGGTGTCGATCACCCAGTTGAAAATGCGCTGAAGCGCGCTGAAAATATGAAAATGGCGCCGAACAAACTTTATTAGCGCATGCGCAGCGAAATGCCCTCAAGAAACATACAAACACAGGGATCTTGGCTTGTCAAGACTCAATCAATCAAAACGCAGAGTTTTCATCGGCATGTAAAACCATTTTAAATGAAAAGGATGAAACCCTGATCCCATTTTTTTTATTCATTAATATAGTAAACTTTTCTTGTCCGTCATTCAAGGCCTATTGTATTTATAGCATAAGCAAAATAATTCAAGATTGCTTCTAGATTTGTATTTTCTTTCCGTGTTTCACTCGTTCGCTGCACTCACTCATGAGTTATCGAGTTAGACACTCGAAGAGGAATTCCATTGCTACGTGTATTATTCTCTATTTAGTCACATCAAACGGTGGAAAACTGTATCACAAGCCAGGCGTTGTACTAAGTTCGAGCGCGAGTCAAGTTCGAGTTACCTCAAACTTTCGTATTTTTGCTTTTTTTGTTCTTTATTTTCTTTCTGTATTTTGGTTTGATTTTTGTGCCAAAATGATGCACTAGGATCCAGGGATAAAAGTTGGCTATGTTTTTGTCTCGTTTGAATGAAATTAGTGGGGGTTGCGAAAAGATAGTACTAGTATCTGAATCGTTTTGAAGTAATTTAAAGTTTTTAAGAATGATAGATTTAACTGCGTGGTTGTGAGAGTGAATGGATGTAGTCAGTGTTTTCATTTTCAGCCGTTTGTAGTGCTGACTGTCGATTTGTTTGTTGGGCGCAGTGGTGGCCAGTTTGAACGACAGAAAAAGGATAGCCACGTTTATCGAAAAATTAGCCCATTGCTTCTGATTTTTCGGAAAAATCAGAGTCGTCACTACATAAGCGACGAAGTCTGAGAAACTGTGAAATAGAAACAGAATTCTTGACGTGTGATGGATGCGAAGATGAATACAGCAAGTAACTATGTGAATCTGTAGGTTTGTAGTAAACACTAGTGCATAAACTGTTGCCTTCATTTGAAACTTTGATGTCTAGAAAAGCTAAAGAAATTTCCTAGGTATATTTAAGAGCCGGGTGAAAGGAATTGACGGCGGTTATAAATTGAGTGAGCTCCTCTCTGGTAGAGGAGGTAGCGCTGATGCTTTCGTCAATGTAAGAGTTTAGGTTTGGGGCCATGGTATTGACTAAAAAATTGATGTTCGATAAAACCTACGAAAAGATTTGCTTAGCTGGGTCCCATTTTAGTACCCATGGCTACGCCATTGACTTGTTTGTAGTAGAGAGCACGGAATGATAAGCAATTGAGTGTAAGTACGTTGATCGAAAAAGTGTTTGAGTGCCCGGAGACCTTCGTCATTGGGAATGACAGTATAAAGAGATGTAATATCCACAGTGAAAATAAGTTTGTTTTGGCCAGGGAAATTAAATCCCTTCATTCATAACGTAGAGAAAATATCGGGACCCAAGAGATCCATAAAGATCATTGATCACTTCACGTGTACCTCCACCAATGTCATTTACTGCTTAACTTGCACTTATTGCAATAAATAATAGATTGGTGAAACAGGAAGACGACTAGATTCCGAGAACACCTTCGCGACGTAAAAAAAATGACGAGGACGCATCCAAACCAGTCGGACAGTTTAATCTCCCTAATCATTCTAAACAACATATGGCAGCCTTATTACGGCCTTTCCTAACATCTAGGCAGTTTGGAAAGCTGCAAAACACTAGAATAAAAATTTATCTTCCGAATCGGCTCTCTTAATCCCCACGGTATCAACGAGCGCTTTCCATTCAACTAATTTATTCCTGTTTTCTCGTCACCATACTCCCACCAATAGCGTAACTCCATTTTCCGCATATAAACCCACACACAACCCACACTTCTTCCATTTGCTCTGACGAAGGGCTAACGCTCGAAACGTCAGCCTTTTTAACTCTTTACGGTGGCCAATTTACGTTTTCAACTCAGTCGTTAACACTAAATTACCCGCCATAATAAATGCAATATTCGCAGCAGATATTGCTGTTACGGTAGCAACACTATACTCCTACAAACTCAAATACTTTATGAAACAACGCGTAATATTTATACTAAGTAGCGACTCCAAATGGCAAGACAGTAATTATACGTAACAACCTGACTGGATTAACCCACCCCAAGCTAGAAATTAAATCACCACCGACACAATCTCACAGTTGTCCTCAAAATGAACAGTCTTCCACAGTAGCTCTCTCTCGGTTTGCTTTCCAAAACAGTCCTTACACACATTTACAAACTATTCCAAAAAAAATTCCGGAAGCTTACAACACAACTTTTTGGTTGTATAATATCATAAATACGTGACTTAATAGAGTGTTCCAGAAAGTTCCATGGCATGAAAGTGGAAATTTCGTGTATGCATGTCAACATCACTAAGTATTCTAGGAATTTCTAGAAATTTATTTTTACAGTAATCATCCATAACACCCTTCCCCTTCAAGACAAGAAAGTTTGCAAAACTTTCTTGCAAAAACCTCGTATTCTTGAGAGGCAGTTTGCAATAACATTGTCCATTCCTTTCATGTGTCTCATGCTTGAAATCTACTCTTCAATGCAACATTAAACTCCACTAACCTCAGCAATTGTTGATTATTGTCTTTCAACTCGTGTATAAGGACAGGGGTGTTGTGATCACTAAAAACAACAACAGGCAAACTTTAGGAACAAACGTAAACTTCGAAATGTTGTAGTGCTTAGTTTAGTGCCAAACATTCTTTCTCGATGGTAGAATAGCGCCTTTGACTTAGGTTCAACTTCTTGAAAAAATGAAAAACGATTTTTCCACACCGTCATCATATTATTGTAACAGCACGGCAAAGCGGCAACATCATTTGCATCAAGAGCCAACTTGCACGGGGATCTGAAATCAGGCGCTGTCAATACAGTGGTTCTCTATAACATGGCATACAATTCCTCGAGCGCCTTCTCACATCGGTCACCCCACTTTAACTTTACCTTCTTACTGAGTAATCGCGTCAACGTTTCTGTTAGGTTAACTATATGAAGTGGCACTGGGGTGTACCCCTGACTTACACCAGTGGATGACTTCATAGAAAACATCAATGTGTCACTCAACTGTAAAGACTGCGAGGCTTCAGTGTCTCTCAAAATCTTGACTGGTATGGAGTCAGACATATCACTCGACAATGACATTGAACCATGGTGGATAAAGGGCAGAAAAATATCCATGACAGACTTAGACGGGCCTGACCTCACTTGCACGGCTTGTCTGAGTCTTTCCTTTAGGAAACCAGGGAGGTGCATTTACACTTGCAACAGATAAAGAAAACAGCTTAAAGATAAAACTAATAGGCACGCTATTTTATTTTTGCACTAATCGCCTCTTTTCCTGTCAGCTAGAAATGGGACGAAGTTCTTTTCTGCAACGATAATATGTTGGTGACTTGATGGGCACTTTTTTTAATTCGGTAGTTCATCTGGTAATCGCGCAGCGTCCTTCAACGTTTCTGCTTTTTGCTCATCGATCAACGTTCGCACATTACTGTGAATGCACCTCTTAAACTGACTGTCTTAAGTTATAATAACTCTTGTCTACCCTTAGTGAATGGCAACAACGATCAAATAACAGATAACCTTACTTCTAGCAAATTCTACATAAGTCTGACTACTGACTCTCAAATAAAATTCTGTGGGCAAAATTTCAAATAACTGTTCCTTACTCCTAGCAAATTCTACATAAGTATGACCACTGACTTTCTCACACTTTCTAAACTTTTGACGATAGGGTTCGGGAATCAATTCACGACCCTAAAAATAGGGTCCTTAAAAGTGGCATTACTTGCAGCCTGCTCTACACTTACTTGTGCAAATATTTCCTTTGCTTTAGCAACTAATACATTCTATAATAAAATTACCCCGTAATCCTTAAGGTTGCCAGCTACTTTCTGAAGAACAAAATATAATTATCACCATCAGCTTTCTGAAATGGAGGTACTTACTTGATATAATTAGCGACATCAAATTTCTTATTAGACTTTTCACTACGAGGGTTTAACCTTAACTTTCCATGTACCTCTAACTTTTTCATTTCTAGTTCATGCTGTGATGCCAGTCTCTGTTCCACAAACCTTCCCTGTCGTTCCTCTCTTTCTTGTGTCCCTTTCTTTCTCTCTCCAACCTTTGCTGTCAATACTTTTCTTCTCTCTCCAGCCTTTCCTGTCATTACTTTTCCTCTCTCTCCAGTCTTTCTTGTGGTCCCTTTCTCTCTCTCTCCACCTTTTCCTGCCAGTACTTTTCCTCTCTCTCCAGTCTTTCTTGTGGTTCCTTTCCCTCATTCTCCACCCTTTCCTATAATTACTTTTCCTCTCTCTCCAGCTTTTCTTGACGATTCTTTTCCTCTCTTTCCAGCCTTTCTGGTGTTTCCTTGCCCTCTCCCTCCGGCCTTTCCTGTCAATACTTTTCCTCTCTCTCCAGCCTTTCTTGACGATTCTTTTCCTCTCTTTCCAGCCTTTCTTGTGCTTCTTTTCCCTCTCCCTCCAGCCTTTCCTGGTAATACTTTTCCTATCTTTCCATCCCATCATGTGCTTCTTTTCCCTCTCCCTCCAGCCTTTCCTGGTAATACTTTTCCTATCTTTCCATCCCATCATGTGCTTCTTTTCCCTCTCCCTCCAGCCTTTCCTGGTAATACTTTTCCTATCTTTCCATCCCATCATGTGCTTCTTTTCCCTCTCCCTCCAGCCTTTCCTGGTAATACTTTTCCTATCTTTCCATCCCATCATGTGCTTCCTTACCCTCTCCCTTCGGCCTTTCCTGTCAATGCTTTTCCTCTCTCTCCAGTGGCTCTTGTGGCTCCTTTCCCTCTCTCTTTAGCCTTTCATGCCAATACTTTTCCTCTCTCTCCAGTGGCTCTTGTGGTTCCTTATCTCTCTTTAGCCTTTCCTGCCAATACTTTTCCTCTCTCTCCAGTGGCTCTTGTGGCTCCTTACCCTCTCTCTTTAGCCTTTCCTGCCAATACTTTTCCTCTCTCTCCAGTGGCTCTTGTGGCTCCTTATCCTCTCTCTTTAGCCTTTCATGCCAATACTTTTCCTCTCTCTCCAGTGGCTCTTGTGGCTCCTTACCCTCTCTCTTTAGCCTTTCCTGCCAATACTTTTCCTCTCTCTCCAGTGGCTCTTGTGGCTCCTTTCCCTCTCTCTTTAGCCTTTCATGCCAATACTTTTCCTCTCTCTTCAGCTTTTCTTGTCTTTCTCTTTCTTCTCTTTTGAGCCTTTCTTGTCCTTCCTTTTCTTTTTTGCTCCAGCTTCTTTTAGTCTCATTGCCTTCTTTACCTCTAACTTGAAGTATTTGGGAGATAAAATAAGCTCTTCTTTCCTCAACTCGTGGAATGTATCTCCGTCGGGCTTTGACATGAATTCTCCTGGATTAAGATATGACTTCCTGCCATACTCTATGACTACTCTAACAGGTAGTTACTTCTCTTCAAAATAATCTACAATAAACTCCACAGCAAAATTCGCTCCAGGAAAGGCCCCCAATTTCTGTTACGGTGTAATTTAGACAACAGAAAGAACAAAATAATCTTACAAACCCAACTATTTCGTTGAACAACGCATGATATGCTTACAGAGGAGTGATCCCTGATGGCGATATAGTAATTATCCGTGACAAACTCACTTAAACCCACTACAAACTATAAAGTAGCTCACCACTGACACAATCTCACAGCTGTTTCTAAAGTTCCTCGAAATGAACAGTCTTCCACAGTAGCTCTCTCTCGGTATAGCTTTCCAAACAAAGTATTCGGGAACATTCCAGAAGCTTGCAACACAACTGTTTTGGTTGTGTTACATCATGAATACGTAAGTTAACAGAATTTTCCTGAAAGTTCCATAGCATGACAGTAAAAAGTTCGTGTATACATGTCAGCATGACTAAGCATTCTAGAATTTTCTAGAAACTTATCTTTACAATTATTATTACCATTTTTGTGATTGGCACTCGTGATAACATCGGTTTTGCCTTATGTAACTCAGCGGGAGAAAACTATTTCATTTTAAAAGCGGGATATTGGCCGGTTTCCAGCTCAGAAGCCAACCGTATCCCTAAGTTCGAGTCAACTCAGTTTTCTCCTTTTTCCTTTAGTTTATTGTTTTTTGGTTTGATTTCTGTGTCAAAATGATGCAACAGGGATGCAAGAGCCCCTGGTTTTTAACTTTAAACGTTTATCCCGTCTTTTGTGACGGTCAATTCTGCACTGGTTCACAGCTGCGTTCAATGCATGAGATAACATTCCAATGCATCCACAAGTTGTCCTCACAGATTCCGAACTCTTTCGATAACACACAACTGAGGCATAAGTCCCATTTTAACGAAGAACTGTCTAAACATTGCGAAAAAATGAAAGGGAAGAGGAAAGAGAGGAAATAGGAGGCGGAAAGATCATGAAAGAAAACGACAAAAACAAAATTTGAGTCATATCTCATTTTCAGGAGGAAATAATAAAATAAGTCTAAAAGTTATATAAATGTAAGTCGGCGTAAAACGCGCTTAAGTCTCATACAAAGTGTTATTTTCAACAGGTAGATAGGACGATACAGGGGATTTAACTCTAGATGGGTGGAAAAGAGCACGCTATAAAGTGTACACTTGGCGTGATATTGTTTGCAGTACTACTCTGACTAATTGAGACGAATTACTTTCCCGCAAATGAACCCTCCTCCTTCATGTCACCAATTTCTGCAAGAGAGGCAAAAATTGATGATAGTGGCGAGTACGTTAACAGACGTTCTAGGCCAAAGATAGCAGCAGATAAGGAAAAAAATTATTGTAACGACCAAAGGATCTGAGGCAAAGCGTTGGCTTATAGTATATTGATCATTAAACGCGACTTCTTTCTACTAGTGTTCACGGTAGCCGCTCATTCTCCTGATAACTTTCAAAAATGTTGTTATTTACAGGTAGACTGTACTACGACGGAAACAAAAGATTTATCACAGGATGGTAGGAAAAAAGTACGCTCTAAAGTATATACTTGGCTTGATACTGTTTGCAATGCTACTGTGGCAACTTCGGACAAATCCTTTTCTCTCGAATAAAAATTCCACCTCCATGACACCAGTTGCTGTAGGGAGAACGAAAACGGATGACATGAAGGAACCTGTTAAGAATAGTTCAAAGCTAAAGATACAAGCTGCGAATATCACAACACCGCACGGCATAAATGTAACAACTAAAGGATCCGAGACAAAGCGTTGGCTTATAGTATATTGGTCAAAGTTTTTTGGAAGAAGGCTCGATCTGCACGAGACATTCGAAAAAGGCGACTGCCCAGTACCGTGTGAGTGGACTAGTGATCAATCCAGAGCAAAAGAGGCAGATGCTTTTTTAGTCCATGCCAGGGACCCACTACCAGACCCACCAATAAAATCGGTGCCTTGGATTCTGCAGACTCGAGAAAATCCAATTCACACACCGGTATTGAACGACGCCAGCTTCATGTCGAAATTTAGCTACTTGAAAAGTTATCGGCTGGACTCAGACTTTCCAGATCCCTCTGTCTTGCTGCCTGGTGTAGCTCCCCCTGTTCCTTTTAAGAATAAGACTGGGCTCATCATGGCAGCTTTCTCAAATTGTGAAGTTGTTCGAACCGAGTACATGAGGCAGCTGATGAAGTTTGTAAAGGTTGATTCCTTCGGCGCCTGTCTAAGGAATAATAATGGTCTAGTGGGTAGGTACGGCAAAAACAAACAGGGCACTGATTTCAGAGATGCTAAATCCATGCTGGCCAGACAGTACAAGTTCAACCTGGTGTTCTTCAACCAAGACTGTAATTATTTTGTGGATGCTCAACTACACCACGCAATGGATGCAGGCTCGGTTCCTGTTGTCATGGCTACAGATAAGCTGGATGAGTTTCTACCTGGGCCCTATCTTAACCGTTCAGTGATAAAAGTGCGTGATTTCAAGAGCCCACAACTGTTGGCTGAATACCTCAAGTATCTTAGCAACAACGAAACCGAGTACAATAAATATCTGGAGTGGAAGTGGAAAGGATATGGCAACATCAGTGGAACTGCTATCGGAAATTATTGGATGCCAAAGTATCCGTTGTATTGTCAAGTTTGTGTTGCAGTTTCGAAAGGGAAAGGACACAAAGAGGGTCTGAAACCATTCAATTGCAAACCAAGGAAATTTGAAGACTGGGGAATTACAAAAGGAGCCTAACTTAAGTCAACTATTGTCAGTTGTAGAGGAAACTGTTAGCCTGTGGAAACCGACGTTAATTAGAAATACCGGTAAAATATTGCTTATAAAGAAGTATTAATTTGGGAGAACTTACGACACGAGCAATGGAAATGCTTTTGATGTTATAGAGGTGCTGACGATTAAGAATAAGGAAAATGAACACGACCTTCAAACTGAAGTTGGTCACTGTGTTGCACAAGTGTGTAGCTCAAAACAAAAGTGTAAACAACAAAATATACAAATGGGAAGCTGCATTAAATTAGAAGTAGACCCAACATTCCGTTTGGTAAGCATACCTAAGAATTTAGAGAAGGGATTGATGTCAACTCAAATTAAACCCAATCTTTCAGCAAAGCGCATTGCCCGTGAAATCTTAAACAGGAATCTACTCAGATACTGTTAATTAACGAGGGAATGTCGTCGCTGCACCCTCGAACAAGACTGTTCAAAGGGTCCCATGTCTAAGAGTAATTCTGCTTTCACGACGGAAAAATTTGAAGCAAACTATATTAAAGTTCACACGGCAACCAGGTGGACAATCAGACATAGTTTGATGCTACTCTGGTTTACACTAGTCGGCGTTACCACCAGCGCCTTTGTTTGGAGGCTTGGCATATTAACTCCGCCCACGCTCCTTTAAATCGTGACGATGGCGGTTTGTTTCCTGACGCCGCCTATTTACACCTCGTCAGAAAAAAGGCCGCCAATTAGTGATCATATAAAAGGACCTCTTGTTGCAGCGTTTAGATCACCTCTAATGAAGGCACCAGACAGGAGTGTCGAAACGTTGGGTTTATGAATTGTAACTTATTAGGTTACATTCATTAAATCTGCAAACCAGAGTAGCATCAAACTATGTCTGAAAGTTGAAGCACTTCACTGTTATCTGTGCGATATACATTTGTTTTCCTTCACCTGTAACGTTTGGCATAATGGATCATGATAACGACATAACACTGAGCTTCTGTTCGCCTTGTAGGACCTGAGTCTAAATAAAGCTGTGACGTTTTTGTGTGATATTAAAATAATACTTTTTTCCTCAAAGAAGTCAACGGTGAGATTATTTCGTGGTAACGTCTTACCGATTGTTTTTCCTTTCGCAAAGGCTTAACTTAAAACATTTTTTAAATAATTCCGTGTTCACAAATAATGAATGATCTTAATTTTTTTCTATTGGACTTGCAGTCAGATGTGATGAATGTAGGATGAGGTTGTCGGCCAGAAAAAAAGAGTGATCACAAATCCAAATTCATGCACTAAAGCAAGTGGAGAATGGAGGGTAGTTTGTGACGAGCGGTGGGCAGAGTTTTTCGGGTTTGGATGGCCTTATGTGAAGAATTTCCTCGGTGAGTCTTTCTGTAGCAGATAACCTTGAGGAGGTTTGAAAGTTGGCGAAGAGAAAAGTTGGACAAATTGATAAAGTAATCTTTAAGCAGCACCTTGTGCAAGTTTCCTAAAGACAACGAACCAGAAGCTTGGTTAACGTAAATCCTAGATTAAAACAGTGAGTTAGTGTTTCTCCTGATCAACAATCCCGTAAATAACTGACTGGATCAGCTGAGAGACCCATTCAAAGGTCCACTGTGAATTCTCTCACTTTTACCACAGCACAATTGAACGTTGTTCTTGTTATACGGCTCGACTAACTGAATCTCCCACACTACGAAGATAAACCCTTTAAATCCCACAGGTGACCAAGGCAGAATTTCTCCTTACATTATAATCAGTTGATCCAATACCAGATTCTTCTAACTAACTTTATAAGAATTGCATGGCAGACACTAAGGAGAGATACTAGTGAGATCTTAGGAGTGAAAGAGTTAAATTGAAAAGGTTACACGAACCTCTTTTGAAGAGGTGCATTCCTGTAGAGTCCGTAGCCTATCAATGAGACCTGCTGTGGTTCACTCTTGGAAGTATTTCCCCACATACAACTTTGTTACCCTGGATTTGCTCAACATTTGCTTCATGAGTACAATAATCCCATTCAAGAACAAGCAAGGTTTGATTTTTGTCATAAATATTTAATAATGTTGATTTTAATTGTCACTTGAACCATTAATTCACTTTAACGAGATGAGGTAAAATGAATGATGAAAATTTAGTGAGTGAATTCTTGTTAATCTCGTTTTATTTCATTTTAAGGATTGTTCAACATAACATTTTTAGCTCTGATATTGTTGCAAAACAAAATTCTTGCATTCTTCTTCTCATCACTGATCAGCAGACTTAACAGAGTAATTTTAAGTGTTTTAAAATAAAAAAAGTCAAGGAGCTTCTTTTTTTCTTGATGTAGAAGTTAAGTGGTTCAACCAGTATTGTAATGGGGTGCCAATATTCCAGCAATCACAACTTCAAAAAGTCACTGGAAAAAAAAGAAAAAAGTAATGAATGCTGACACATTTCATGGAACTGCAGGGTTGTGGAATTATTCAAGCTGCATGGTTGTGGAATGATAAACTCATCACTAGTTTTCCTACTTACCGAACATCTAACTTCAGTAGAGGATCAATGAGCTGTTTCCATTCCTCCACAGTCCAAGCAGCAGATACCTGGCTGACAAAAACCCCATTCAAGAAAAAAAATGGAGTTCCAGAAACTGTCCCTGAAACAAACAGAAATGAAAATAATGTCCAACAATCTCTCTGGTGGTATAGAAAGTTAATTCAATGTTGTCATGCCAGTTAATGTTGCAGTTCATAGCTTACATTTTATCAAAAAGTGTGACTTCCAAATCCCACAAAAGTTTCAGATTAAAATAGTGAATATAACACAAAGAAAAATAAACTCAAACCTTATTTGAAAAATCTCAAACCAAGGATAATTTGAACCACAATACATATCCAAACAAATACTGAGTAACTATGTAACTCTTATCCCATCTCACAAACTCTGTATTTTTACTCAATTTACTCCTGGGAGTGTGAGAGATTATCATATAGTGTCATCATTGATGGAGGCAGTCTGGCCCAGTCATAGGTTACGGCACTAGGCTTGAAATCTGTTGGTCACGAGTTAAAGACCTCCAGGCTGTGACTCACTGGATTTGTTCTCATTTGCCCCAGGTTTAACTCCTTAGCTGCACTTTGTAATTTTAGCCAACTGATCTACCTCTGGCTTAAGTTGGGATTTGTAACAATTTAGGCTTATTTACAATGTGAAAAGCTCCATTGTGGGAACAGTCAATAAAGTATACATTACATTTCCCATTCCACAATTGGACATTTTTAAGGGTTTTCTTGAGGACTGTAGTCAGTTACAGTGCTATGAGTGGTTCATATTTCTAGGGAAATAAATTAATTGGCCCCAGGCCTACAAGCTAGGCCTGGCCAGAGTTGACAGATATTTGGTTGATGTTTGATCATCCATTTTGTGTTTTGTTAATTTGATCATTGTAGTTGTTTTATCATAACAGATTTAAAGTCACTCAGTAACTTGGGTTTGTTATCAATTTAAATAGCAGATGCTTGGAGAGTACCAAGCAAAAACAAGCATTGTAAAATCACTGAAACTAATGGCATAACACCTTACACAAGCTGCTAAGTTAAAATTAGTCTGTTACAGTTGATGGTATGATTTGAAATATTTTGGGCTGACATAATATAAACTACAGATTTGTATTACTTAGATCTGAAATTAGGTTTATCACTGATCTTAACGTAATTTGACTAGCTGAGCACTTAACAAGTCCTAAACTTACTTGAACAACCATATTTCCAAGAGATTCTTGTATGTTCATTATATTCTGTGTTTGTAAGTCCATCCTTGATAACAGTCTTGTCAATGTCAATTTTACTTCCTAAATCAGCAATGATGCTACAGGTATGGGAGAAAAGAGAAAATGATGCAACGTCATTGGCCTGGGTGTTAAGAGTTTGTAAAAATTAAGGAAAAAGTGAACAAAATTGCATGTGCAACAAAAAAATCTTGCATTTCTAAACTCGGCAGCTGAGGATTTTGGAATTGTGGTTTTAAGGATAAAGAAGCAAGTTAGGATTACGCTTTCATTCAAAGTGATAGGAAGTCTAATATTAAAAAAATCTGTTACTGAGAAAAGGCTTACTTTATGACATCATATCTGTTTTTGTCCATAGTCTGGAAATCATAGAGTTGGTTCTGGTTCTCAAATATGACATCCATCCAGCTTATCACAAGGGAAGTATTGTAAGCTTCCACAGCATAAACACTCTGAAAATTAATCAAAGTTGTTTCTAACACTTCAATGCGGGATGCAGTATATTTAGATAACACAGTGTTACCAAAACTTTGCAGTAAAATTTGTTAGAAAAATCAACCATCCAATAGTTGAATCATGAAATAAATATAAAATACACTCTAAAAAATTTGGAAAGTTATATGTGATTTATAAGTAGCTCTGAGAAATTGAACTACATATCATTTCATGGTAGCAATAAAAATAGCACAATGTCTTTGTTGATATGTATACATACAATTATTTGTTAACCTACAATTAGTGAAAATCAATCTCATTAATATGAATCTTGATATGAGAGCGATGAGGTCTCTTCCTAGATTGAGCAATTTGTGCGCATGCAAGTCATAACACTTGGATAGGACCAGTGGTTGTGCAAGCTAATACAGAGTTTTATTGCAAAATTATTTCTGTAAATCACTGCTTAGATATCTGAGTTTGTTCCATTAGCAATCAAGCGTTAGAAAGCAAACAAGTTGACTTCTAACTTCGGAAGTAGTTTCCCTTTCACCCACAGCATAGGCAGTTTTGATTATTACTATATTTCATTAGTGTTTGTTAGTTATTGCTGATTAATGGACTGTTGTTTGGAAGATATTCTGTCAAATTCTTTTTTTGTAATAGTCTATTGCTTCATGTTTGAAGGATAGTGATTCAATTAACTGCCTGATCCCAAAACAAGATGACTTAGCTTAATCCTTTAGCGTGAATGAAGATAATTCTCAGTCTACTGACTATTTGTGCTTAAATTTCTGTCGCATAGTCACAGGCAATCATTTAAGTTGAGAAGGGGAAAGGTAAATTTCAGAAGATGACTAGACCACAAGATACCTATGGAACCAAAATTTTGTTATGATGCAGTACTGCTACAAGTTTAGGCACATCATACTAAGATTTAGGTTTTTTGGGTTTAACAGTCTTAGCCATTTTCAAAATTTTCAAAATCAGTTTTTCAGCTCTGACATGACTAAATGGTTTATGAAACTGTACAGGGAAAATGGAAAATGAAAATGTAAAATGGAAAATGTTTGTTACCCCTTTGGTATTCTGTTTTTTTTTTTCCTTATTGATGTTTGCTTTTCAGTATTTGTGAAAGAAGAGTGGGCCATTCTTTTTTATGTTTTCCAGCTTAGCCTTGGCATATTGGCATACAATGCAGTTTTGAGTTTTCCCTCTCAAGAGCTAGTTCTGTGTTTGAATAAGGGTTAGTTGGTTTCTCATTACACTTCAAAAGCAGTTTTGATCATCAATCTTGGTTTTTGCTTTTGAAGGAAATGTTGGCCAGTATAATTTCTGCTTTTAGATTTAGACGCAAGTAGACCTCTTCCAGAAATTTTGCAGATAATACAAGAAGTGGGAGGTCGTTTATGAGCTACTGTAAAAATAGTACAGAAATTATTCTAAAAAACTAATAAATTGAAGTTTTTTGAAGGAGTGACATGAGCCAAAAGGTGAGGAGAGGGTGGGGGACATGGACAAATTGGTACCAGTAATGTATACAACTGCTAGAGTTTATTACAGCAACGACTGAGTGGTGAGTACCTAGAGCTTTTTTAATTCCAAGATCTTCTACACTTTGTTGTCTCCAAGTTGCGATATATAAGCTTGTTTAATTACGCCATGTCACGGAGGTTTATAAAAATTGAAAATCCTGCAACGAGAAATTGCATGCGCATGCTAAATAACGTCAAAGAATGAGGGTGCCTAGAGTTAAGGTTTTCCTTTAAAGTAACCTTAGAATTTTTCTTACCCAAATGTGTTACCTCTGTTGATGATCTAGGGCTGTTGTAACGTTACATGTTACATAACTCTGATGATGCGAGTATAGACAAGCCGATATATATTTTTTCAACTCACTTGTGCCGCTAGGAATGCATTTGTGTGATATGGCAACGGGAACAACTGCAAGGTAAACTGGACAGTTTCAGGACCGTACATATCTGCGACTTTTTTGAGAGTCGGCCATGCTTGTTGACAATCCGGGCAAGTCAAATCAACAAATGCTTCCAAGTGAATTGGTGCAGTCGGCTCGCCTCCTTTATAGACAAAACCCAGCGGACGTTTAGGTAAAGGAATCTGTGAGTTACCAGCAGTTATCAATACTGCAGCGAGCAACAGGTGCGACGCAAATTTCGTCATGACGGTTTCACCAGTGTTGAATTAGTCGTGTGCCACATATTTATTCCACCAAGAAAAGTCACATGACGAAGAGGCACGTCACGCGACAAGTAATCAAGGGTGACTCAGCACTTACTTCATCATTGTTACGCTTTATTTGTTAGCAGTACAATTATTTGGGATCTTATACACATCCGAACTTACTTAAAAATTAATTTGACCGGTTCATCTATGAAGTTTAGTGCATTAAATCGTATGTCAATTGAAATATTCTACATTTTTGTCTGCCTTCAATTGACTTCTGTAGTCTTCTATTTGAGATCTGATGCTTCCGGGATCTTGAGCTGGTTTACAGTACGGCTTTAGCTTGCGTGCTTTCTTTAGCAACTACTTCATGTATACTTTCACTTGATTCAGGCTTTATTGTCGACAATTCAGCATTACACGTTCCGTTCTACGATCTATCTATTCTATTCCAATCTAACTTAGGGTTACAAAAATTGCTACATTCATTAGCTTAAGAAATCTACACCCAGATACGCAATTTCGTGCGGGATTCAAGACTTGCTCACGTTGTTCTATAACGATTTGTGGGTACGAATTTCCTATCAAACATGGCTTTACTTGACAATCTTACTACTATGTTCCTACGCGCTTTACGCCCTGGAAATACCTAATTTGAAATATCACTGTTCGCAAAACTAATTCGATTCCTATGACTACTACTACTTAAATGGTGACGTAAATGCTTTACTTAGACGGTAGAAAAATTTTACTGTAAGGGTATAAACGAAATACAACTTACTTGATACACAATTAAAATTATAATAAGTCAAGGAAATCAATTTTGAGCATGGAATCGCTTCACCAGAGTCCTTGTGGACGTAGCCTGTAGAACAGGTGTAATTTTTTAGTGAACGAGTGCTCAGTATTTTCTTAGCGAAAATTATAGCCGCCTTCTTTGATTTTAATGGCAGCGGAAGGGTGGGGAGAGAAAGAAATTTGTACCAAAGGGGCAGTCGACGGTAAAAAAAACAAACAGAGGGGTAGGGGTGGGGGACTGAAGAGTAGTGGACGTAGATATTAGTTTTCCACAAAATTTCGTGACGTATTATCGTGACAATATCCAATATCTGGATTCTTACAGCGTTAATTCACATCAAGATAACACACATGGATTAAATCGTCATGAAAATGTTTGCGTCAAGATCGATATAATTGCCTCCACTGAAAAAAAAGGGAAAGAAAAGAGAGATTCTTAACTTATTTACGTTCTTTGAAAAGTACACAATTATTCTTTCCCGCTAAATGTTTTTAACTGTCTCAATAACAGATGGACCCAGCTTTTAGTTTCAACACACTCGAGTGTTAAAAAACGGCTGGGGGCAATTTTGTGTAACAACTATGTCTAGTCATTATTATGTTGGTTATATTTGTTATTATGATGTCTGAAAGTTCAAATCACAGCTTTGCGACTGACACAAACCAGAACCAAGATGGAATGATAATCTGACAAAGATGAGACATGGAACCCTAGCAATGTAACGTAAAACGAGAGACAATTAGCATACTACATAAACATCGCACGAGCGAGGTCTGGCTCGACTATGATATAAGGTGTTTCGCATCATGGCTAAAGATGCGCGAAGAAAAGTTTTAATTCTGCAAATTGTTTGTGTCTTTCTTGCATTATTGTCATTGGGTCTGTTGATCGCATTAATTGTGGTGTCAACAAGAGATAAGAATGGAAGTTTGGAAAATGAATCGTCCTCCCAAGTCAATGATTTTTGCCCAGATAACACACGGCTGAAACTTCAGTCAGTACGCTCCACGGGTCTATTCAACGACTTAACCAAGGATGAGATAATCGCTGTTCGTGACTACATCCTGAGCCAGCCGTCCATGAACGTTACACCTTATGAACAAGCGGCCATAAACATGAACTTCATTTACTTAATTGAGCTGCAGCAACCACTTAAAGACGAAGCGCTTGCATTTCTCGATAGCAACAACGACGCCTTAAAGCCCGAACGCAAGGCTCGTGTCGTTATTTTTAATGGAGGAAAAGGTAACCCGGACGTAAAAGAATATCTCGTGAGTCCAGCTGCGAAACCGACCAAACATGAAGAAACAACCGGCCCCGGTCAAAAATATCCGATTCCGTTTGATTCTCGCCCACCGGGAGGTAAGGATATCGAAGTTATAGAACGCATTGTCTTGAACGTAACAAAACAAGCCTTTGACTTGCTGAAGGAAAGCTTCGATGGGTACACATACAGTGGCTGTACTGACCGCTGCTTAGTATGGTCCGAGTCTGCACCCGGACAGTCTGGCCACCGTGAGAAATGGATCTGGTTTGTTCGGAAACTACAGGGAAGTTACGTGCATCCGGTTGGCTTTGAGATCTATCTTAACACACAAGGCAACGATGTTTCCTTGTGGAAAGTTGAAAAAGTGTTCTATTATAATCAGTCATTTGATAGTGTTGAAGAACTGATGCAAGGTTACAAGAACGGCACTCTACACAAAGTCTTTCTCCCTGCGCCATCTTCCTCGAGTGAAACGCCTTTGTACTCGTCTTATTTTCAGCGAGGAAAACCACAACCCTCGATACCCCTGAGACCACCCCAACTGGTTGAGCCCGATGGTAAGCGCTATACCGTCAGCGGAAGTCACGTGGAATACATGAAGTGGAGTTTTGATTTTCGTTCCCGCAGTTCCACTGGGATGCAGCTGTTTGATATCAAATTCGACGGCGAAAGAATCGTGTATGAACTCAGTCTCCAGGAAGCTGCAGCATTTTACTCAGGGTGGAGTCCCATGCAGATGTTCACCGAATATCTCGATGCCTCCTGGGGCATGGGCAGCAGCAAGTTTGAACTAGTCCCAGGCATTGACTGCCCAAGCACGGCCACATTCTTCGACACAATTCATTTTGTAAGCAGCAGTGAGCCAGCTACTTACCGGAAATCGGTGTGTTTATTTGAGCTTGACCTTGGTCTCCCGTTACGCAGACATTTTGATAACGACTTTGAGGGTGGTTACAATTTCTACGGAGGAATGCCAGGAAATGCTTTAGTTTTGCGCTCCGTTTCCACTGCATACAACTACGATTATATTTATGATTATTTGTTCTATCCCAACGGTGTCGTGGAGGTCAGGGTGTCGACGAGTGGCTACGTGCAAGCTACCTATTGGACGGCAAACGAGGCTCCGTACGGTACCGAGATTCATACTGGCGTTGCCGGAACTATTCACGATCATTTGATCAACTACAAAGTGGACTTAGACATTGGAGGAAGAAAGAACTCCTTTGAGAATATCGACATCAAAGTGGAAAATATCTCTAATCCCTGGTTTCCAGGCTCCAGAAGAATACAAAAGGTGCTCAGTCGCAGCCTAAAGCAGACCGAACAAGAAGCCACCTATCATCAAAATTTTGAACATCCCAAGTACCTGAACTTTTTCAGCGATGGAAACGTGAATAAGATGAACGTCAATCGAGGTTATCGTATCCACATCCGAGACATGATGAAACAAATATACCCCAATGACTGGGAACTAATGTCAGGAGCCATCTGGACACAGAACCAGATGACGGTCACTAAACGCAAAGAAGAGGAAGAGAGAAGCTCCTCCATTTATAACCAGAACAGCATGCACGACCCCGTTGTGGATTTCTCAAAATTCACTGCAGATAACGAAAATATAGTGAATGAAGATCTGGTTGCCTGGGTAACAGTGGGCGTGATGCACATACCTCATTCCGAAGATATTCCGAACACTGCCACTGCAGCCAATTCAGCCAGCTTTTTCCTGCGACCGTACAACTATTTCAGCGAAGATCCATCCATGGCGTCTCAAGATGGAATACTCATTTTGCCCACCAAAAACGGCGCTGACGTCAACACATTTGGAACTCCAGATGGACCTTCGTGCGCTATAAAAAACAAACCTGTGAAATACACTGGTAATTACGGAGGCGCTTAACAATTTCAACCCGTTACGGGTCATTAGCGTATACGCCTTTGATTCACTAATCAGGCTTAAGATTACATTTTAACCGATGTTACGTATCTGTAGTGTGATACATAGGAGATCGTATGAACGCCTGTGCAGTTTGAGCTTTTTCTTTTCGTTTATTTTGTTTGCGTTCGACGTCAGGAGAACACAAACTTTTCATATCGCTTTTTCTGGATACTGAAAAATTTACAGGTTTGGGCGCCATCTTGGACTAGCTGGCCACTAGCCTCGATTTTTTATGCGAGAGCGTTGGATCCCGCCAATGTGGTGACATTTTCTTCAGTGTTCCATAGCAATGTCCATAATACCCAAATTCACGATTGGTTCAAGTTTACAACTTAACCAACCGATTGCGGTTTAGGAGCCTGATCGATTTCACTTGACTTGATATGTTAATCCTTCTTATTGTAACCAGTTTTAGAAACTTTAAAATGATTCTGTGCCAGTTTCATTTTGTCAAGTTGGTTTACATGGAACATGACCTGTAAGGAATAAATGATACCAAGATAGCGGCTTATACCCGCAACTACATCTCTTCTGCTCCTGCTTGTGGCACCTAAGTCAATCGCAAATACGGAGTGAGCTGATCTAGGTATTTATCCAACCTGAACCGTATTACCCTGACACAAAAACACTATCTATAGTCCACACATGGGTTTCACTTCCTGTTCAATCACCGAACCCGTAAACGTCGCTTGTTTCGGAATTCTATCAACACATACTTCTTTTCCTCAGTATTTAATCTAGATGTAAAGACTAAACCATCAACAGAAACATATTGCAACATATCTATTCTCATTTCCACATCAAATTCTTTCCTGTAACACGGTTTAAATGTCCCTTTCTTATTGGGGCAAAACTGCAACATAACAGTGCGATGTTGCGTTCTAATATTGTTGGTGGGTCCGCCTTAAAAAGTAAAGTCAAACTACATCCTTGTTAGGATCGTGCTCATGATGGTTATCACCTATAATCAATACCAACGCACTGAATGACTTCATTACGCCACGTTACCAGTTATCACATGATGCCTTGCGTCAATCCAGGGCCCCACGGATTTGTGCGCCGTCATTTACTTTCCCTTGTCATTTAATACCTATCTTTTCGTTCTCATTAAGAAGATATACATCTTAAATGTTTGGTGTCTTAAAGTGAAGTAACCTTCCCTTGAGTTTTTTTCATTGGTATTCATCCTTGAACATCTGATAAATGTAGGTTGTTGTGACTAATAGCAGTTGCATGATCCGCCACACTCTGTTGCCAGGTAACATGTCAGTAAAAGAAGTAACTTGGCTAAGGTACTGACGGTTTGTTGTTGTAGAGGCGATGGTGCGAACGACAACTTGTGTGTACACAAAAATAATGATCAGGCGAAGGTAAAGAGGTCTGAGACCTTTTCTGTGGGGCTGGAGATCCACTTCCTGTAATGTACTGTATTCATCATCCTAAAAAATAGACTAGATGACTTTAATCAAATCCTTTCCCTGCTATTGATGACCGTTAAGAAATCCCTTCTTACAGTATCAATACACAGCCATGCAGATAAGTGTAGAGAAGAAAATAAACTAAGTAACAGCTAGAAGTTATTGCCCGGATATCACGCCAAACCACTGAAAAGAAAATGTATAGCTGCTCGACGCATGCACACCCTTGTTCTGTTAAAAGCAGCTGCCTTTATCCTAGAATTTAAAGGTTTCTGATTGCCAATTTGAAATGAAAGCAAACAAAAGAAATTTATTCAGAGACAAGAAACGACCCAAACCCTTACTGGACAGACTTTAAAGGTAATTGAGCGAAGTTATTGAAATGTTTCAGTGTTACTGCTTACCTCTTTCTGGTAAAAGAAAGTCGGAGTCAAAGTCACGAACTGAACAACACTTGCAATCCTCATCAAAGCAAGCAGAAGACACGTGGGTGAGATGAACACCGAAAATATTCTTTTAACACGCGTCGCATGCGCTGAAAAATGAAAACAAATCAATTAATCAAAGAGTAGATAGTGAAATTAGATATGACATCACGAGGTTGTTTATTTTCGCCACTTGCATTCAGCTTTTTATACGGAGTAAGGAAAAGCGTGAAGGAACTCGTTCACAATTGCTTCAGATTCAAAAGCTCGAAGTAAAGATAGACGCATTGACGAACAGGATGCGATTCAGCTTGGGGGTTTCAAAATGACAGGCCAAGACAAACCAACTGGATTCAAACGCAGCAACCCTCGAGTATTGTCTTTAAGGTACTTGATACGACTTTACGGAATGTCCTTAATAGTGGCATTACCCGGAAACCATTGGTCAGTTCACCGACAAATATCAGGCGAAGTGACCGGTAACCATAGTGGCTCTTAGGTGATTGAACCAGCCGCGTCAACCTGCTTTACATGTACAGTATTTACTCGGCTGTAAGTCCAGCTTTGCTATAAGACGAGATACCAAACTTGTAAAATGTAGAAGCAGTCTAACAAACACGGAAAATAAAGCAAGAACAACTGGCTAATGACTGATTTTAATTTTTAACAAAAACCTGACATTTACGTAAAAGAAGTTACACTGAAAACTACTTATATATCAAATGAAAGGTACATTAATTTCTTTCCTTCACGTTTACAGTTTATAGGCAGCATCTTTACATACCTATGCTTACTTTCGCCATCGATAAGAACACCTTGAGGAATGAACGGTTATCGGCGACTTGTCTATTTAAAAAGCATAGGGTATAAAAAAAATTACGAAAGATTTGCAGCAGAGCCTATGTTTCCGACCGAAACAAACTGCATAAGTACACGAATAAATAAATAAATAAATAAATAAATATGCATAATAAATGAGATATTTTTGAGAGAGACAACACGGAAAAATAAAGGAAACAGTAAACAGAAACCAGCAACGAACTCAACCCACAGTGACATATCACCTCAGCTTTATGGAGGTTTCGTCCAATTGTTAGTTCGTTCCCTACCATCTTTGCGAGTTCGCCCACTGTAGTGAAACAAATTGACCTTTACTTGCACAAGGTTGCCCCCAAATCCTTCTACCTGTGTCCTCACGGCAGATAGTATTTATTTTCAGTCGAAATCACAAAGTATTTTGATCAACATGCATTATTTTTCCTGAGAACCTCCAGTTACCCCATGTCGAATATAAACCCTTGGCCACAGGGGTGGGGTACGATTACATTCTCTGTTGTTGACTTCTACTCTTTTCAACTCTTGAACATAGGCCCTTATTTGGAAGGATTTCAGGATCTTTACAATACTACTTTGTGGCCGGCCATTTCCCTAGACTGCCTATAACCGCAGTAGAGAGTAAAGAGGCCCTGAAGGGGGAGAGGGGTGGGGATAACAAAGGCTCTGTACACTTTCAAAATTTGTACCCTTCACTAGATAAAAACGAAAAGGAACTCTGAAGGAGTGAACGGCATTCCAAGAAAACTTCTTATTTCAAACAAATCAGAAAGAATACAGGTACTATGTAGAGGGCGGCAAAGGGTTTGTGCGTGACGCATGATTAAGCTCAAAATTAAGACGTGACACGTGAATTTCTCAGAAGGGCAAGGTAAGCTAAGATCTGGAAATTGTCCTTTTAAATCCAAAATCCGAGTGAAATACTGCCTAAAGTGCATGTGTTCCGTGAATTTTTCAAAATTTCGTGTATGAAAACACCTCCTCCCTCCTTCCCCCCCCCCCCCAACTTGGCTACCCTCTATGTAAAATGCAGACGACTTATCGAATCAGTCAACTCCTGTACGGTAACATAGCATATGCTTTCTGTTTGTATAATAAAGTGAGGCAGAAAAATAAAATGCAAAGACAGAGACAACTGTTTGGTTTATGAACAAGCAGGAACAAAAAACTTACTGTAGCCACTGTGACGGCACATCTAAGGAATTTTCTTGCATCAATCTTTCCTGTTTCATAGCCCAAACTATAAAAATCATCACAAGGCTAACAACAGCTGCATCAGATATGATACCTGAAGGAATACAGAAAGAAAAGAGGAAATGCAATAAAAATATATTTTTCTTTTAAGTAGGTCAAATATTCAACATTTGTCTAATAAACATAGGCAGGTAAAACTCAAACATCATATAAATAAATAGATAAATACTGACATTGGCTCCATATATTTTACCAATGAACCAGACTGCACTTTCTATGGTTCATGATTTACGAACTTTCCTCCTGTTCTCCCAATATCCTGTGTGGGCTTAATTTCAGTGCAACACCAATCTATTATCTATTTCTTAAATAAATCAGTGAATACATGTATAGGTTTTATCCAAGGCATACTCATAACTGTTACTTTATCTGCTATTACAATTAACCAAACTGTGACTTGCACTCTTAATTAATTCAGCCATTCCAATTTATCTCCTTTGACTAGAATCTGTGACTTGCATTCTTAGTTATTTATGCCATTTGAATATATCTCCTCTGATTAAAAGTCTGTGCATGGTTGCATGCACTGATCAATAGAATGGTTCTCTGATGAAGAAAAGACCACACTCCAGTAAATCACTGTCCAGAATTCTCACTACATTTAGCTTGTTGCTATCAGAGCTACTTGCCTTCTTCCTTATACAAGCAAATAAATAACACCAAAATTGTTAAAATGACTGCAACTCCTGCACACCTGTAACAGGAGTATTTGAAAAAAGAAATTATTTGTAAAAAGCTTTGAAAGAAAATCCTTTGGGGTCATTTGGAAATCTTTGGAAATCTTTATAATTATTAAATATATTTTGGAAATTCTGGAGGAGCCTCCATTGAGTCTGTTTGAGAATCTACAAATGTGGCGAATGTGGAAAAACATAGGAAGAAAATAATCTTCACTATACAGTCAGCAATTTAATGAAATTAAGGAAAAAGGACTGTGGGAAAATTCAGAGCTTTGGGCAATCTATGGTTTAAAACTGCGTGAAAAACTGCAATATTCTGTAGGATTTCTTTACAATGCTCTGAACAATGAAAACTGTATGCAAACTTTAAACAACCAAAGCTGATTGTAAACTATAAACCACAAAAACAAATGTAATATGCCAAAAATCATTTAACTTTCAGCACTATTGGGTTCAAAATTTTCCTCTCAAAAATTGAATGTGATACAATTAGCACAGGGTTACATTCTGTAAAGCCATATCCAGGAACTAAGACACATCAAGCTTCTTTTCCAAGTAATAAGGCCCTTCCAATGAGTGTAAAGAACCCTTGGACAATTATTATTCCATCAAAAATGAAAGCTTAAGACTCACCAAGTTTCTGTGTGTGTTGAGTGAATATCTGTGAACAAATGATAGCTGAGATATATTGACAAAATGTATGCAACTCCTGAGATTGCTAAAATAGAAGTCTGAAAAACAAACAGGCAACTGAGGTTGTACACTCTTGGATGAATAAAATCACATGTTAACTGTATGTAAAATAATAATAATTATTCTTTGTATCTACCACACAGGTAAATAGTGCTTTTAGAGGGCACTGGTTGACTGGTGCAGAAATAATAAGCAAGTACTGTTTTGCTCCATCCAGTTAAAGAAAAAATTCTGCATCAGCAATTTAATTTCCAACCATTTTATGGTTCATTGACTGAAATAAACTTATTTTTTAGTTCATGCAAGGAATATATTAAAATGACTATTCACCTCAGTTTTGGGGACAGTGGTGGATAGTTACCTCACTGCTTTGCATCTCAGTAGATAACCATTATCATTCACCTCCACTTTGGTAAATAATTGTTAAATTGCTAATTTAAATAATTAACATAAAGTTGAACTAAAATCACTTTTACATGTAGCTTCTGATTTCACAGAAGATACACAATCTCAGTCATTGCTTACAATAGACAAAGTGAAAAAAAAAAAGAACTAAGACTACTTAGTCACTGTAAATATGAAAAGGGACCCAAATGCTGTTGCTGAAGGCCCACAGAGGCTTAGTTAGATAGAATACCTTAACTATAACTGGTTGGTCTTCAATCTCATTCACAAAAGATTGACTGATGTACATCACCACTAAAACAACTTGTATTGCCTCAACAAACAAAAGTGCAAATTCTGAACACTGAAGAAGCTTCAGATAGCACCAGACCACAATGGTTGGGGCTGTGTTGAAAGGGAGGAAAAGGAGAACAGCAAATGACAGCAACTGTAGCATAGGTATTGCAGCTTTCTAAAGGGTGAACAAAAAATAAAAAAGAGCAGATTACACATTTAAATTCAGCGCAGTTTTTGTGTTTGAATATGGCCTTAAGTGTTAAACTGTTGTATATAGCATAGTCATGGTGACAGCCTGAAGAGGAAGTTTACCATTGACTTCTCTGGTAAACTGAGGATGCATAGAGAGGATGACGGCAAATAAGAACTTGTTTGAACAGGAAGGACTGATTTTTAAAATGTAAAGAATGTGTTCACCAATTTTACCAAGTAGTGTTCTTTATTGTGATAATCGCTATCATCTACAAGCATTCTGAACCTCAAGGTCTACTGAACAGAAAATACACAGTCGAGGACAGGGTCACTCAGTTAATAATGGGAACACATGACAGTTTCCACAACGAAATGAGTGAAGGGATTGGATCTCGGAAACCTGACCAGACTAGTTGACAGGGCTAAAATGGACAGATATGAATAGGGTTTTGAGAATCTTTAAACAAAACATAACTTATAATTAATTAACCGAGGATTAGACTCACTACAACATCCGGTATTGCGGCGAGTATGGCAGAATGTACACACAAAAGCAAAGAAAATCTCACTGCTGCTTCAGTACCAAAGTATGAAAAATACAAAGGCAACGATAATGTTCCTGTTATCAATAAAATTGTGTTACTTGCTTTTACAAAGGTAAGGAAGCCCATAAACGCCATTTTTCAGATTTCCCGCATTCGCGCCTTCTATCTTACTGGCCAGAGGACGACGGAAATCGCTTAGGGCCGTGGTTCAGAACAGGCAGATCACACGTGTGTTCGTGGTTATAGCACATTGTTGACTTTAAAAAAATCTATGATGGTTACGAATACAGCTCTGAAATTTGGTATCTGAATTATATGTTTGTCTAAATATCTCACTTAAGTTAGATGAAATGTCAATCGACTCATTTATGGTATTTTTTCGTCTACTCAGTGGGCCTTTTCAAAGCTCCGCAATGGGCTATTTGAAACGACCTGCATGATTAGAATTGAGAAAGCTGTATTCATGATTTCAGTATCGATTTCCTCAGAAAATGTTGGAGGTGTGAAGTTCAAATTCTGCGAAGAGATAGAGCCATATCAACAACCGTCGCCAGTCAAGATAAAAGAGGATCCAACATAGGTTTGGCGGGATGCGGGATGAGGCTTAAAATTGGGGCGGGATGTGGGATACGAGAAATTTTAAAGGTGGGATGCGGGACGGAAAGAGGAAGGCGAGACTGGGATATGCTCTGTTTCGAAGGGATAGTTACGGAAACGAAGACCTAAGACCCCTATGAAAACGAAGATCCATTACGAAAACGAAGACCCCCTACGAAAACGAAGACCCATTATGAAAACGAAGACCCATCACGAAAACGAAGACACATTACTAAAACAAGTTCAAAAGAGGTTGGTATTACCTTTGTGGACAAAGGTTGTGTGCATAAGACACACTACGAAAACGAAGATTCTTACAGGAATCTTGAATTCTGAATTTGGCACGTCTGTAATTTATTACAGAATATCATATCAAACTCATGGGGTACAAATAGTCTTAACATGAATGTAGTGACCACGCCCACTTCAACACCCCACTCAAATCGAGTGTAATTTTCGAATGTTTTACCATCGTGCGGATTCTCTACGGAAAAAGCACTCAATGTACCTCTGAAATATTAAACTATAATATTGTGGCTTTCTATTTCGCCAATTTTCTAACTTGAAGATAAAGTTTTTCCCTCGTCATTTTTACCTTTTCTCCGAGCGGTTGCGTGAAATTAACAAGGCGTTTTTGATCAAAACACGACCGAGCGAAGGGTCTCGGGCGATATCTCTTTTACGCAGGCGCAAATTTTAAATGTACCGCCAGAATCAAAAAGAGGAACAAATTTCCTTTGTTTTGATATGTAAAGTGTCGAACAAAAAGCAGATTTACCTTCGTCAAATGGCGTTTCAAAACAGCTGTATCTTTGCCCTTTTGATTTTTCCTGTTTTGTAAGCGTGAAAGCAGTAGGAGAGGGATCGGGAAACTCAGAAAGCGCTTCGGGAATTAATCTGCCATCGTTTACTTACAAGATAAACAAGTAAGATTTGTGAAGTTCGTTGAAGTATGAAGTCTAAATAATTGCCTTTTTAAAGCTTGTTTGCTGGATTTTTCGTAAACTTCCCTGATTAATTTTTCGTTTCAGCTTACTAGTCTATACTATTTCAAAGCAATGTCAAGACGAAGACGGAGAACCATGAGTCGGTCCTTTCAACAATCGTAAACAAAGTGTTTGAGCAATCAGGTATACGAGGTGTAATAATCAATAGCCGCATATCAGAAGTCTTCAGGAAGAAAGTATTCTGTCTTCAGAAAGCTGTCAAGAAAGCTAATAATCGTGGCGGAAGGCAATTAAACGGGCCCTCGGTATCGATTTAATATCATATCGATCTCAATATCATACAGTTTTGTATCTTTCTTCCGTGGATTCGCCTCTCTAACGAGGGTGTATGTTGAGAATTCATTGCAAAATCGCTTTGTTTTTTTAATTTCCCTCTTTGACCTGTCCGCCATTTTGAAAATTCGTAACGGAGAGCATGCGCATTACGTGGGGTTAGTGGTTGCGTACACCTGGAACCGAGAAAAACAAATGTTCGTCGCACTGGGGAAAGAGTTTGATATGTCAACAGTAGAGCCCCATGGAACCTTCAATGGGACTACTTTAAAGCTAAAACGAGATTTAATAGAAGAGACATGACATGCATATGGTGGTATATAATGAAGCAAAAAGATTAGGAGTGTGTGGTTAATTAAGTTTTTCGGGTTGCATCTCTCTGCCTCTCCCTGCCTAGTGTGTTTTAAAAAAATTATTATTTTGAATAATTAGTCCTGAGGAGCTGTAACACTTCGCCTTTAGCGAAGCTTTTTGCTCCCGGTGGGTGACACGTTGTGTTGAACGTGTACTGGATGTCTCTATTAGTTTGAAGTGGGTTCCTATATCGATAACTGATTCCCTGTTGAATCTTTTACCCATATAGATAGTTGTGTCAAAGAAAGTAGCTTCTGAAACAGATATTTCAGCCGTTAATTTGATTGTTGTGTGATGTTCATTTGCTTAAGCTTGTTCGATGAACTGGTTAACGACATCTCTGTTAATGTACATGAGAGAGATTGTGTCGTCTATGTAGCGTTTCCAAACGGGCGGTTTGTTAGCTCTATTTTCGAAGATTTGCGTTTTGAATTTAGCCATGTAGATATTTCTAAGAACTACTGCCTTTTTGATGACCATGGCGGTCATCCGTGCGGTACGTTGCAAGTAATTTTGTTCGTTGAATTGGAATGAGTTCCTTTCTCTTGTAAGGGCTTTGAAATGAAAAAGGGGGGGGGGGGGGGGTTGGTGGAGGGGGGTTTCTCTGTAAAATTTCTCGTACGCTGTGCATACTATGTTTATGCCCTCAGCTTATGGTATATTTATGTAAAAGCTCGTAACATGCATTGAAACGAATATCAACTCAACGCATATCAAGCTTTGTTTTTTTTTTTTTTTTGCAAACTTCATGAAGTTTGTTGTGTAGTTGAAATATGACTTGTATTGTTGTGCGATCGGCTAAAGTTAATAGCTCTTCTGTCACTATAATTTGGAGTGTAAATGCAAGTTTAGACAGCAATAACGAAAAGTAGCGTTTAATGAAACGAAAATTATTCTACTAGCGCTCTTTGGATTGAGATTAGTAACAGACAATTCACGCGGTTGTTGAAATTTTTATTTTTTTAAAGTCTGCAAGTGCCAGCAAAAGTAAACCTACATGCAAGTTGCAGATGGATCGTTCTCCAAAAGGTACAAAACTTTGATTCCTAATGAGAACGTGGAACTGAAGTTAAGGAGGTTATAAGATTCCCTTGGCAACAGACTTTGATCCAATAAAATGTTGTGTTTAATTTGAGAACAAAGAAAAAATATCGCATAATGCCATGCTTTCAGGGGTTACGCTCAAAAGCAAGCATAATGCTTAAAGATTTACTATGAATACTATTTCAGATCAACTTTGTTTACACTCGCGTTTCAGTACTGAAGTATTTGATAATGAGTGATCAATCCTCATCAAGAAAAATGGAAAAGAAAAGAAGTCCTCAGTTAAAAACCATAAAAAAGCCAGGACCTAAAAGGGGAAAAACTTTTAAATTTTTGGATTAAAAATGAATTATGAAAATATCATGCTGAGAGTGACTAGGGTTCGTGGTGTGCCAAACCTACAAAGATGGAGAAGAACATTAATTTTTTCCCCTTAGTTTGACCCATCCCTTGACTATCGAAAATGACTTCGAAGAAGTTAACTGGAGAAAGCTTGATTGGAAAACTATCACTTTCCCGTGAAACACCATCATTCTTACTTCGAACGTCAAGGGGACTGCAGTTTTATTGGCTAGCGGCCCACAGTGTGACTGGGAGCTAAGTGTAGACATTACTCTCCGAGAAGGCGTGATGAGTTTAGAACACGAAAACTGGCCATTAATTTGCGATATGAACCAAATGCCACTTCTTCAAACGAATGAGTAGATTATGTATAAAACTGATAGAATTCAGTGAAATTTGGAGCGGAGGTCAACTGAACAGTAAAGAACAAAGCTGAGCGGGCTTTGTTTTGTTTTTTTCGAATACTCTCCACTTGTGGTTTGTGTTAGTTATATACCTCAAAAACAGGGCACGAAATAATTTTTTTCCGGAAGGCACTCGCAAACGTTATGAGGAACCTTGATAATGCATGGCTGGGGTATCCCTTGGAGGACTGGGGCAAGTAGAGGAGGACATGTGACTTGGTTGTTTGCTTTGCGGGATGGATGGGTGTAAGAATGAACGATGTTTCGGCGAGAATGTGTCATTTTCCGTCGAATCTTGCTAAGGTAAAAATATAATTTCTTAACTTGTCCCCGTAAGCATTTCTAGCTCTTGTTCTATCAGTCTTGAATGCGATCACTGAAACCTGAAAACTGAAAAGTGAAATTGAAGTTTAAGCTAAGAACGACTGTCTACGCTTTCGATAAGAATTATAACTGTTGGTAACTTAAAAAATCACGAGCTTATGTTCTGTCCTTCGACAAAGTACATTATGGTATGTCTCACGAGGCTATTTACAACCCGTTTAGATAGAATTTTAGCGACAACTCGTTAAACTTGGTTCTCGTAAATTAAGGGTTGTTACGCATGAAATTATCCACACGAGAGTTTATGCTCGCACGAAAGGGTCTATTTCTCTCCCGTCGAGACTCTTGTGAACGGGAACTTTCAGTCTCTCAAAACGTGAAAATCAACTTTTATTCCAAAATCTTCTCGAAATCGCAAAATTACGCACCAACAAGGTCTACTTTTGCGATCCAGTCGTTAACTGCTGTTTACCAAAAGAAATTATTTCTGTACAATGTATTGCGTTTACCTGAGATTACGGCATGAAAATGCCTCCTTAGAAAATATCTAAACTTACTTACAAAGCGTTTTTTAAACACAAAAACTTACATAATACCAGAGTACTTATATACAGAGCTTCAGAATTCCAGTCGTGGAACGCCTCTCTCTCTCCCTGAGACCAGCTGGTCTAAAATGGAATGTGACGACAACTTGACGGTGCTTGGAAATTATATATACACAAGCTCGGAAACTTGTCATCTAAAAAAACAAATTAAATTTTGGAATCGTATGACATTTCAAAACAGATTTCTGGTATTCTTAGGAAATTTGAAAGAACCTTTCGGTAGAAATCCTACGAAAATTTCTGACTGCGAGGGATTAAGCCACACCTAGAAAAAAGTCAATATTTGCATATCACACTGAACAATTCTCTAGGTTACGAAAAAACCTTCGTTGGAATGTGTAAGGATACAAATTAAAATTTCACCGAGTTAGGAGGTAAAGTCGATGGCAATCTAGAAAAGTTGTTGTGGTAAAATTCTTTAATCAGTTTATTGGAAAATCGGAAATATTTTTGGTGGGCTTTGTGTATCTACTGACAACAACCCCGGTTTTATTTCTTTTCGCTACCCGTGGGTCTTGAATTACTCTTAAATACAAATATTTCATTATCCTTAAAGTTAGTCATCAACAGTCGCCAAGTGGTTTTAAACCCGATAAAACACTCCTGCTCGTTTTTTAAACATTACTTAACGATATTCAAGATCTGAGCTTTCATGTGATATAAGTTTCATTAGTTTTGATAAGGAAGGTCCAGGTCATCTCGACATTCTCTGTGCCTAATACGAAGAAAAAACGCCAAGTCCCTCACATGCTTTTAATGTTGTAGTATATTACCGCATCTTAACTTTCATTTGATGTAAGTTTTATACGAATTCATGAACAACAGTGAAAGTCACTTGGCTAAAATCTCTCTGGTTTCGCTGTACGTAAACTGATCAAAATTTCCTTGACATCAACATGTTTTATTTATTGTTCCATAATTGAGACATGAAACATAACGTTTGAGTCCCATTCGCCGTGTTTGTTCACGCCCTTTTTAATTTTGCAGTAGATTACAACAACTTGGCTCTCATTTGTTGTAAGTTTCATACGACAGGCTACACATAACGTCTGAGTCCAATCGCCACCGGTGACGAGTAGCCTACCCAAAGACGTAAAAAATTCTTCGATGTTGGGCAGCCAAATCCGTGCACCTTGCATAGTGCTTCTCAAACTTCACTGATCATCTGCCTCTATTTCCGCCATTTCGAAAGTGTTAGTTTCCGGGGCTTCTTGTTTAGTCTGACTTCCGGTCATTTCTATTTCCGCTTCTTCATCTCTTAGTTTTATTGAACATCTTTTAGTTATATAAGGTCACGCGTGAATGAGTCAGGAAAGCGATGTATGCTGCACAGCATCGATGTATTACATCCAAAATCGATGTATTCCGGATGAAATTGATTTATTTTATTTTAAGACTTGTATTATAACGCATAACAATAACGTAATTTAACAAAACATTAATGTATCCATGTTCGATATTTTGTCCGTAAAAGAACCTCATAGTTATAGCACATTAATTGCTGACTTAAGATGAACAAAATCTACGATGATTACCAATACAGCTCTGAAATTTGGTATCTGAATTATATGTTTGTCTAAATATCTCACTTAAGTTAAATGAAATGTCAATCGACTCATTTATGGTATTTTTTCGTCTTCCCAGGGGGGGCCTTTTAAAAGCTCCGCATTGGGCTATTTGAAACGACCTGCATGATTAGAATTGAGAAAGCTGTATTCATGATTTCAGCATTGATTTCCTCAAATTGCCTTAAACTCAGATTCTGCGAAGAGATAGAGCTGTATCTCATCGATCAACAACCGTCGCCACTAAGGAAAGAGAAGTTCCCTGTAAAAATTCTCATATACTGTGCATACTACGTTTATTCCCTCAGCTTGTGGTGTATTTGTGCACGTGTAAAAGCTCGTAATGTGCATTGAAACGAGTATCAACTCTTTCGGAAGCTTTGTTTTTTACTGTGAATTTCATGAAGTTTGTTGTATTGTTGAGATATGACTTCTATTGTTGTGCGATCGGCTAGGGTCATTTGATTCTCACTGAGAACGTGGAACTGAAGTTAAGGAGGTTATAAGATTCCCTTAGCAACAGACTTTGATCCAATAAAATGTTGTGTTTAATTTGAGAACATAGAAAAATTATTGCATAATGCCATGCTTTCAGGGGTGAAGAAGTCAGTTAAAAACCGAAAAAAAGCCAGGACCTAAAAAGGGGAAAAACTTTCAAATTTTCGGATTACAAATGAAATATGAAATTATCACCAGGGTTCCATGGGGCTCTAATGTTGAAATATTCCGTAATAAATCACAGACCAGCAAATTCAGAATTCAAGATTTCCGTAAGAATCTTCGTTTTCGTAGTGTGTCTCATGAACATAATCTTTGTCCACTGAGGTAATACCAACCTCTTTTGAACTTGTTTCGGTAATGTGTCTTCGTTTTCGTGATGGGTCTTCGTTTTCGTAGGGTGGTCTTCATTTCCGTAATGGGTCTTTGTTTTCCTAAGGGGTCTTAGGTCTTCGTTTTCGTAGCTACCTATGTGCACTGCGGATGAAGAAACGAATATAGATCGTTTTCACGTGACGTCACAGAATTAATTTACGCCATGTTGCATTGGTGCACATCTGAATCACCCTGAGTCACGTGTTTCAATCATTATTATATGCACTACACGGTCCAAATTTATAGATCCAGACCATGTCGTCCAAATTCCACTGTCTGATTACGTTAAAAAACTGGATGTAAAAGTCAGAGAGCGTTATCTAAAGAAGATTTCGACCACCGGTATCGATCCCGTTTTGATAGATGGCAAACGCTTGGAACCTGATTGCTTACCGTCGGCAGAATCGTCTGATTTCCTCTGCTATTTGGTTCTAGAGACTAGCTATTATACGCAAAAACAATTTAAGCCTTCCGGAGTCTCGAGGTCAACAATCAAATGGTGTCGGGCTTTGTTTGCGACCTTCGCAGTTATGAATGCTACAGAACTAGTATTGAAAATAAGGCCTGAAAAAAAAGTCAAGTCCTTGAGGGATTTGAACCCATGACCTTTGCACCGGTATCGGTACTAATGTGTAGTTTGTGTTAGTTATATACCTCAAAAACCGGGCACGTAAGGATTTTTTTTCCGGAAGGCACTCGCAAAGGTTTTGAGGAACCTTGATTAAGCATGGCTGGGGTATCCCTCGGAGGATTGGGGCGAGTAGAGGAGGACATGTGACTGGCTGGCTGTTTGTTTTGCAGGATGGATGGTTGTGAGGGTGAACAATGTTTCGGCGAGAGTGTGTCATTTTCCGTCGAATTTTGCTAAGGTAAGAATGTAATTTATTAACTTGTCCCCGTAAGCATTTCTAGCTCTTGTTATAAACTATAGGATGTCTATCAGTCTTGAATGCGATCACTGAAACCCAAGTGAAATTGAAGTTTAATTTAAGCTGAGAGCTGAGAACGACCGTCTATGCTTTAGATAGGAATTATAACTGTTGGTAACTTAAAAAAATCACCAGCTTATTTTCTGTCCTTCGACAAAGCACATTAGGGTATGTGTCTCGAGGCTATTTACAACCCGTTTAAGTGATACCTCGTTAAATTTGGTTCTCGTAAATTAAGGGTTGTTACGCATGAAATTATCCACACGAGAGTTATGCTCACACGAAAGGGTCTATTTTTCTCCCGTCGAGACTCTTGTGAACGGGAACTTTCAGTCTCTCAAAACGCGAAAGTCAACTTTTATTCCAAAATCTTCTCAAAATAGCAAAATTATGCACCAACAACGTCTATTTTTGCGATTCGATCGTTAAATGCTGTTTACCAAAAGAGATTATGTCTCTACAATGTCTTGCGTTTACCTGAGATCACGGCATAAAATGGCTTCTTCGAAAATATCTTAACTTACTTACAAAGCGTTTTTTAAACACAAAAACTTACATAATACCAGAGTACTTACATACAGAGCTCCAGAACTATAATCGTGGAATGCCCCTCTCCCTGGGACCAGCTGGTCTAAAATGGAATGTGACGACAATTCGGCGGTACTTGGAGAGTATATATGCACAAGCTCGGAGAATTTGTCATCTAAAAAGCAGTTTTTGGAATCGCTCGACATTTCTAAACAGATTTCTTAAAATACAGCGTTGAAAAGTGAAGTAAAGGCGAGTCTGTTCGCTTTCGAAAAGCAAAATCAGCGGCCGCACGTGTCGTAACTAATGAAGAACATTCAAATAAGGTCTGACTGGCTTAGAGTTGTGTGTTTGCTAAGTGAGATTGCACGCTTTATTGACTCGTTCGGCGTGGTATGCAAGATAAACAAGCTACACAGCCTCCCGAATGTTTATTCAAGATCATCATGTCCTTGAAGCATGAGGTTAGGGTTATCCGGATCCTCGATTATCCGGACTATTTTGTCTAGTCCTAACGAGTCCGGATGATCAAGGTTCGACTGTATCGTCAATTGTGAGAAACAAATTAAGTAGGCCTCATGTGATTTATTTGTCCATTCCCTCTTTCGTAATCCCCGTCGATGTGACAGTTTAAAAGTAACAATTCCTAGTTTAATTTCCATAACATTTTTTTGTTAGGTAAGGCCCGGGTCGCACTACAGTCAAAAACAAAAATTGGCCCACGCGAAAATTTCTAAAAATTTGAAACCGCAAACGGAAGTGCCAAAAATTTGAGAACATTTTCAGGGTCGCACTACAATATCACTGATCAGATTTCAGATCAAAACACGCGCGCGGCAAATGTATTTTAGTAAACATGAATGCGAATCAGGCGTTTTGCGTGGCTATTGCCGTTTTACTTCTTCAAAATATTAACATCCAACAGCAGCAAATGTTCGCCATTTTCATTCTGTATCAGAGATGGGCAAATGAATATTTTGAAATGATGAACATTGCTCTTCTAAGAAGACGACGACGTTTCCGTCGAGTTCGTAATAGGCCCTACGCGTGGACTATTCCTCGGCCAGCCGAATCGTGGTTCGATGTCCATTATAACGACCCGGCAATTCCAGAGGAGTACTTTCGACAGCAACTAAGGGTGAACAGGAACACGTTCGAAACAATTCTCCATATCTTGGGCCCGAGATTAGAGAGGCGAAACACGCGGTTCAGGGATTGTATACCTCCAGCAAAAGTTCTTGCTCTGGGACTATACCGCTTGGCCCACGGAAATTCTTATTCCACCATTGGCCCGGTATTTAATGTAGGAAAATCGACTGTTATCGAGGCCGTACAAGACGTTGTGAAAGGTCTCTATGAACTTCGTGACGAGTACATAAAATTCCCAGAGACCATCGCTGAAGTCAGTTCATCGATTGCAACGTTTGGAGATCTTACCAACCTACCAAATGTCGTTGGGGCTATTGACGGCTCGCATATTAGAATTAAAGCACCCAACGACAGTGCACCGGATTATTTTAGTCGGTATCAACAGCACGACTTCATAATCCAAGCTATTGTTGATAGCAAGAAGGTTTTTATGGATTTTGCGTGTGGATATCCTGGAAGCATGCACGATGCTCGTGTATTGAGGCGCAGCACTATCTTTCAAAGAGCAGAACAGAAGAATGTCCTAACCCAGCCAACTGTTAATGTGAATGGTCATGACATAGGTCCGTACCTTTTAGGTGATAGTGCCTATCCTCTTTCTCCATGGCTAATGAAACCGTATCCAGAGGACACACGGGACCCAAGGGAAATAGCGTTTAAATGGCATGTAAACCCAAAAAACGTTCATTTTCTTTTCACATAGATGTTTAGTAAATATATCAAGTACACCAAAGGTACCATTCGTTTATTCTCAAAAGTCCATTTTCACTTTGTAAAAGCTCTTCCAAATTCGAAACATTCGCCATCTTGAATGGCGCCATCTTTCCTGTGACGTCACGGGTGGACCCTCCAAAGTCTCGTTTTATAATCGCGTGAGGCACGAAGGAGTCTTTTCTACAGCCGTTGTTTGCTGGTCTCGTCATGATTTTTTTACTTACAGTTTGCTTCAATATATTCAATTTTTTCGTAATGGTGAAGCGTTGTGTCGTCCAGTTTTGTACTGATTCAAACAAAACTGGGCATACAATGCAAATATTTCCAAATGACGCAAATCTGAAGCGACAATTTGTGAAATTTGTTCAAGTGTAAATAGCCGATTTCGTCGAGCCGTTCGAACGTTCTGTTGTTTGTAGCAGTCATTTTTCTTCCTGGTGCTGTACCGACGATTCAGGCCTCACCAGAAGCAAATTATTCGGAAGTATAAAAACGACCCATACAATCGGCAGACGACGAGGATTCGGAAGTGGCCGACCGAACTGAGAAAGAAGTTGAGCTCTTCAAAAGTTAGAGGTCAACAGAGAAAGTACAAAATCGCTTTACATGAAAACGTTTCGTTAATTAAACAACAATAGCTTTATTGGTTCTCTAAAAACATCTTTTTTCTCATCTAATGAAATATTATGGGGAAGCC